CCAATTATAATAATTGGTTTAAACTAAAAAAAAATAAGAATTTTATTAAATTTAATAATAAATTTATTTTGATTTTAACACAATTAAGAACTAAATACAATTACTTTAATAATTATTTAATTAGAATATTAAACTTTAAAATTTTAAATAAAAATTGTTTATACAAAAATATATTATAAATATTAAAATATTTAATTATAGAATATTAATTTTATAAAAAAGAAAAAAAAATATTAAAAAAAGAATTTAAAAATAAAAATAAAAAATAATTTAATTATAATTATTTATTATTTAATAAAGATAGTATAATTTTATTGGAAAAGTTTTTAAACAAAATAAATCTTATATAAAAAAATAATAAAAACTAAAAAAATAATTTACTTATAAAATAAAAAAACCTAAAAATCTAAAATAAAATTATAAAATTTTAAAAATAAGTAATAAGTTTTAAATATTATACTAAAATAAATAAATAAGAATAGCAGATTTATAATATTATTCTTTTTATAAAAAAAAGAAAATTTTTAAAAAAAAAAAAAAAAATTTTAAAAAAAAAATAAAAATAAAAAATAAAAAACAATAATAAAAAGTATTTTTTATATTTTATTTTATTTTTTAGTTTATTATTTGTTTTATATTTATATATAAAAATTAAATAAAGTGTGAAAGTTATGTATTAAAACAGTTTCTTCAAACTGCCATAACCGAAAGGTTGCACGTGTGTATGATAAATAATAATAATAATAATAATAATTTTTAAAATTAAAACTTTTCTCTTTAGAAAACTTATAAATTAAAGTATGGTATTTTAGAATCCCAACATCGTATAATCTAGGAGAGTGTCTCCTAAAATTGAATATATAAAGTTAAAAAATAAAGTAAAGTACTAAACTGTTTTAGGAAACCTTGTTAAGAAATCCTGGGACAGGTGTAACAATAACTAAAATAACATCTGTAAAATAAAGAAAGATAGAAATAAAAAGCATATTTATCACACCAAAACATATCTCCTAATCAGGTTAGTCAATATGGCTGGGCCATGACAAAACTTAAATAATTTATAATTATATTTTATATACAATTTTAATATTTATTTAATTTTATTAAATTATAATTATAATTATTTGTAATTAAAATAAGTTTACCTAAGAAGATAATAGATACCAAGGTCCAATATTATATTAAATATTATAAAAATAAAGTAATTTTTATAATTTTAGAATTATAATTAATAAAGATTTATAATTATTATAATAAAATATAAAATAATTAAAGTATATTATACTTAATTAATAAATATTTTTCTTAAGATTAAAAAATTATATTAATAATATATTAATAATTTTATAGTTTTATAAATATACTAGATTATATATAAATTTATATATATATAATTGATAATCAATTATCTAGATTCTAACACATTGTAGATCCGTTTGTTCTATATATTTATAGAGTGGTATGTATAGACCCGGCACTACACCTTATACGGTATACCGTAACAATCAAATTTGTAATTAGCAATAGAAAAATCAATTGCTGATAGTGATTTTTTTTAACTCAACAACATTTTGTTCCAGACTGCCACCTGCGGTAACCCGCTTGGCGCTCATGGCAGACAAAAAACATTTTTTTTCGAAGTCTGGTTTGAGACAACTGATTTTTGTTGTTATAATGCATTGTCTTTGTTGGATTTTCCTGGCTACTATTCTTTTTAAACAATCCTGAACCAAGCCTGTTAACAGGTTCGTTAATTAACTTGTCAAGGTCGTGTGACTCGCAGGCCCGGCTGATGACTTACGTCGGGCAATCCTAATAAAAAAACTATTTTATACTAAAAAAACAATGAATTTTTCGAAATTGTAACAGCATCACCCGGGTCACATGATCACACAACACAAGGCTCAGTGAAGCTATGTAGTATGGCTCATACTGATACCCACCCTTTTTCTATATATGAAAAATTGGATATTTAGGAATGTAATCGTCAGTCCTGTTTCGTCGTTTGATTGATTGTTATGTTAATATTTCTCCTGGAAATAGTCGTCGGTTGGGCAGTAATACCTTGTATGTTTTCATTCCCCCCTTTCTTCCCTTTTCTCTTTATTCCAATTTACCTATAATCTTATAGTTGCTCCTAAAGTTGAAGGCGTTTCTGATGAGTGGGAGACCCTGTCGGTAGTAAAGTTTCGAACCAGAACGTCATCATGTCCCAAAAGAGTGAATATATTCAAACAGAAACCGGTAAGGACACAGGTCTTAGATACTAAGTGGCATAGGAATAAGACTAAATTAACGTACGCACAGGAAATAAGGTGTCACGGAAATCTTTGATAATCGGGAGTCAGAATATTATTCTCGGCGGCAAGGTTGCATTTGATTTACGCATTATTCATACATAATGCTAAAGCTTAATTAGACGATTATCCAAGCCGACTGCTGCATACGAGGTGACCTTCGTAGGTTGGTTCCACAGGGTCAGAATGCGGCGGCTGTGGCCATTGCTGTTGGACGGTACTGTTTTTTAAGCAAAAGCTGTCTTCTCCGCCCGCCAAGCAAAACATATCGAGGGTGGGAATCCCGCACACCTGCGATTTTTTGCCTGACTTGCTAAAGGATTGATAGCCAGTTTAGCTACTACCCCATGAAATTGGGGGACCACGTATTTGTTGGTGAGGGTAGCGTCGTTGAAGCCGCTGTTATCGGTTCATATGTTAATATTGGGAAAAACTGCGTTATTGTATGTGAAAAACGACGGGTGTATGCTGCTTCGGCGATGACCTGGAATATTGGCTCTGTGCTAACAAACCTGACTACTTTACAGGGGAAATTTTCGATAATTAAAGATTGTGTTCGGATCGAAGATGGGACGGTGATTGCCCCTAACAGTGTTATCCCATCGTTTTCATCAGTCGAAGGGCACCCTGGTATAGTGGTAGAGGAATTACCAGAGACAGCAGCTGAAATGCTCGAGCGTGAGTTGAACCACCAGTAGGGTACCGCTGAAGAGCATTCTAGCTAAATATCCTCTCATAGTCAAAGAATTATACAAAAGCATCTGATCAATATCAAACGGTCCCCGGGCCGAAAAGTTGCTTCATACCATAGTCGAAACTCGTTTGACTGGCAGCACACAACTTAAATTATTTCACCTCTTCGCAGAGTGTATTTTGCGAATGCGCGGGCAAGCCCCTTTTTAACACTCAATTTCTGAGCTCCAATAAAACTTTCAATTATTACCCCTATAGCGAGATCGATATCTCTTGCTTGCACATAATCGGAAAGCCTCATCTTTGCAAAAGCCTCGGAAAGTCGTATGATAGATTCTAAGTGACGAACCTGTTTTGGAGTTAGCGAGAGCAATAAACTGGTACTTGTATGGTATGAACTAACAGTTATAGGGAAAGATCCTGTTGCTAGTGACTCCCGTCGCATATCCGAAAAGAGTCTTGCTAGTTTTTCTTCGTCGATATGGTGAATTTTCGGCCGGCACTCTCGTCGAGCAAAGAGAATATATTTTCTTAATATCTCTTGTGGAATATGGCCTGGTTTAGTTTCGTTTCGTGTGGACCCATTGTCGGCGTGTTTTGAAAGAGGATGTGAGGACCCGTGGGATGAGACCACAAATTTGGCCAAGAGTTCGTCCGTTTCAGGATTAACCGTATCTCGAACGACGCACAAGACATCAAATCGTGATAGTATAGGCTCGGTAAGCTCCACGTTCTGGGCAAAGGGGATTGTTGAGTTATATCGGCCGCCGATGGGATTTGCAGCTGCGATGATGGAACACCTAGCCTGTAACGTTGTGATTATACCTGCTTTTGAAATTGATATGGATTGTTGCTCCATGGCTTCATGAAGGGAAGTCCTGATTGAATCTGCTGTCAGAATCTAGCGCCTTTCCTTGAGGTGGTCAATTTCAACACTTACCTGTCTCGGTCATTCATTTTATCGAACTCATCGATGAGGCACGTACCCTTGTCCGCGAGGACGAGGGCACCGCCTTCCAAGGTCCATTCATTCGTTATAGGGTCTTTTCGGACACTAGCGGTTAGGCCCACTGCGCTTGCGCCCTGTCCGGTGGCGAAGACGGCACGGTGAGCAACTCTTTCCACGTATTTTAAGATTTGTGATTTGGCGGTTCCAGGATCGCCAAGTAGCAATAAGTTAATATCGCCACGAAGGGTATGCTTGTCTTGAATGTTTTTAGGGACACCACCAAACAGTGATGCGGCGACTGCAGTCTTGATATCGGTGTGGCCGTATATTGAAGGTGCGATACTATCAATGATCTTATTGACGATAGTGCTTTCTTTAGCGAGCCGTCTAATTATAGTCTCGTCTTCCTCCGTCAACTGGAACCCAGCAAGCTGGTCGTGAGCTTTTATGACATTATTTGCCTCGAGTATTGTTGCAAAAACCGGGAAACCGTTTCGGTTGTTCAGTTGAGCATCGTAATTATTTCTGTATATTCCGGTAATTTCAACCTCTTCACCAGGCTTCGCGGCATCTATAAGATCCCACAATAAGATTACATCACGATGTCGGGGAAGTCTTCCTGCCGGTACTGTCCCCGGGGATTCTTGAAGAGTCAGTTTTTGGTAGTTACGATAAACCGTCTTTTCCGAATTGAGTGTGAAAGGTCCTCGAGATTGGCAATTTTGACAATATGATATTTTGACCTCAACATTAGATTCTTGTTGAAAAGGACCAATGGTAATTCCGCACTTCGTGCAGTCAAACTTCACAACTTTGAGCTGTGGAAAAACTCCAGTCCGGCGAGTGACAACCCCGGAAACCCTAACGAGGGCATTGAGGTGTGATTGTCGTAATTCACGCAGGGTGAAAACAGCGGGGACATCCGATACCCGGACATGAACTTCAGGGTGGATACGATCGTAATCTTGATAGTGCAATAATACGGCATCCATTGCGACGGCGTCAAATATGGGTACAATCTCCGTTGGTGCATTTGCTAAAAAGTATGCGAGTACTGCTTTGGTGTCCGCAAGGTGACGATAAGATATCTCGAGCGATTCGGCGTTCATTTCTCCTAAATTACGAATCCGATTCCCATAGACTGAAACTTCGGAGCCTGGTTCAACGTACTCGAGGAGAAAACTCTTGAATTCCCTAGCGATAGAGCGCTGGACGGCAGGGAGAGCAATCCATTCGGGCAGAGACGCGTTTTTAACATCAGCAAGAGCCTCCAAACTCAGCTCTTGCTCCCAGTTATCTTCGTCGTGAGGGGCCTCATCATAATTTGAATAAACATGTCGGCGTCGGAGGGGCTGTCCCAGAAGGTCTATGTCTTCGTCATCTTCATTGAGAAAGGCTGCCGGTTTTCCACGGGTTGCTGCTTCTCTGTCACGGTGTTCCATGCGTTCTTCCAGAGCACGCCTGATTTCCGGGCTCATATCTTCGTATTCTCCATCATCGTCCAGCCCGTCTCTCTCGTAGTTGTCTTGAGCATCATCTGCCTCATAGTCCCTGGAAATAGGTCGGTGTATATCTATATTAGAGAAAATGACAATTGAGGAGGCGAAGTGAGGATAAATATATACCTCTCTGCGTATTCCATTAAGTTTATTCCATCTTCATCTTCTGCCATTTCATCTAGATCATCAACGTCTTGGATGCCGTCTTCCTCGTCAACCAAGCCATCTTCATCGGAGTCATCGTTCTGTGGCGGGGAACTCGGAAGGGCTGAGGAAATTGCGGGGGATGCGATAGAGTGGAAGTCAAGATCTTCCTCGTGCTCCTCCCGGTTTCGCTTTCTTGTTGATGCCATTTTTATTTTATTTTGTATTTTATTTTATTTTGTTTGTGGAGGGAATTCTCTCGAGTCAATTCTCGGCAGTGGTAGTTGCAGATGTAATGCTGGTCTGTTGTGGTTGTGGTTGTTGCGTGTTAGGACGTGGAGTTCTCGCGCAGCTTCTGTCCAGCAAACATCACCTAAAATAAATAAATTAAATTAAATTAAAAATTAAAAAAAACATCATCATCATTATCATCATCATCACAACTACAACTACGACCAAAGGTTTTGCTATGTCGATGGCGCATTAAACTTGGGATTTTGGGTGTTCTTCGGGCGTGCTAAAAGTACCTAGGTATATAAATCGACTCCTCATTGATATTATTCTTATTCTTATTATTATTATGTTATTGTCATCATAAAAATCATCAACGTTATTTGGGGTGCTGACTGGTCTCTTCGATTCCGAAATTTCAGCTGTAAGCTCTGTCGCGATGAGCTCGAGCTCGGTCAACCATTTGATGTTCGAAGCAAAAAAAGGGTTCTTGGTTTCGCAAACTCGAATTGTATCACAGAGCCTATCCGTTACTCCAGGATGGGAGGATGGGTGCTGCGACGCGGGCCCAAGCGAAATGACAATTGTGGTTGAAAACACGCTCGCGAAAGGCAGGTGCTTCTCCACAATGTTAAGCTTGTTTACCGGGTCTTTCACTAGCAAGTGCTCACTATGTGGAATGGCCAATAGTTAATCGGCTGTGCCAACGCCACCATCAGATATTCTACAATGCGCCTGCAATAGACCATGTTTCTGAGCAAATTGAAGTTTTATATCAGCAGCAGCGGAACGATAAAACACCTGGACAAGATGGCCTGGATGTTCTCAGCGGGCAAGCTGACCTTTCAGACCCATGGTAAGTTTCTTTCTTTCTTTCCGTTCTTCTCTTTTTGTGAGGTCTTACTTTTGGGCTGTAGGAGCATTGAGAAGCTTCCGGAGATATGGCCTAATGAAGAAGAATATGGGGCGGACGAAATCTACGATGCATACAAACAGCTAGTAGGACAGGTATCTGGCATGGCTGCAGGGCTTGTGAGCCTCCGATCCAGACACGAGCGTCTTCTGTGTCTTCGAAACAAGATAAGCATGTTGGAAAAGCCTCAAGAGAAAATACAACCAACCCTCGTTTTTAAAGATAGTGAACTGGCTCTGGAACTGAAGAGGATGAGAATTCTTGCAGCCAAGTTGGCATACGAGCTTGACGTTTCGAAACCAATGCAACTGTGACTATTTTGTATTTTCTTGCATCGGTGCTTCCCCACGTACCTACTTTCTGAAGAGCTTACCTTATCTATGTAAAGACGGGCTTGTTCTTTCGTATTCTCATATTTCTTTGATTGCTTCTCAGTTTGGAGGGTCCGTTGAGTCGTATAACCGTCGATAAACCCTTGTATATGTCACAGCCAAAATGGAAATGGAAATGGAAAGTGCTAAATAGGGGTGGTGCCAAGAGTCGCCAATTGCCTCCATCCTCATTTGTCTTGTCACGTCGAGTTCGGAAGAAAGAGCGTAATTTCCTTTTGAATATAAACCAGGAAGACGAAGAAGAGTACATCAAGAGGTGGGAGAAGTTCTCTTATCGTGACAGCTGTGTAGTCTCAACGCTGCGTCTGTCTCGGTGGTTGTTGGTACTTGTCTACCTAACTCATTGACTGTAGCCATGCACCGCCAACAGCCTTTCAAGAGGCCCCTTCACTGACATCCGCTCTCAATTAACATCACCAGCGGTTGACCAACCCCTGGCGTTTTGTATCCTCAAACCCCGGAAGGCATCTTTATTATTATTATTATTCTTATTCTTCTTCTTCTTCTTCTTCTTCTTCCTCTTCCTCCTCCTCCTCCTCCTCCTCCTCCTCCCGTATATTACCCACTTAGCTCCTATCTAAACCCCCCAGCTATTTGAGTACTGACTTCGGTAGTATGTCCCTTCACCCTTTTGGCCCATCACCAGCCTTCAACATTGACTGATTATTAAGCTACAGAGGTATGCATCTCGGGCAATTGCATCTCAGGAATCGTCATCATTGTCATCACCATCACCATTGTCACCATCGCCTTTCGCATCCATTCCTTCTCGCAAATAAGCCATCCTATTCCGCTAGAGTACCGAATACCTTTGAATCCTGGGATGAATAAACATCACGCGCCGAATCCCACGGCCTTTCCCCCCAATCCATCCGCCGACCCGAGGAACATGCCTAGATAGCTCTTTTCGAACAATACTTCTAACATTGCTTTTTTGTTGCCGGATTTTCTTCTAATTCGAAAGTTATTTCATACGACATTCCGTCGAACCCCCCCCCCCCCCCCCCCCGGGGACCATTCCTCTACTGCAACTACAAAGCGAAACTGAAGTGTCAACACCTGAAGACGCGGGTACTGATCCACTTCAAAAAGAGAGGCTCCGCACTGATAGTAAAATGCAAACAACGACGAACAAGCAAAAGCAACCCGCTGGGCGGCCGGTTCGTGATAGCAGTCTCAGCTCTCAGCCTACGGAACGGGCGAATATACGGCACTCCTCAACGAATTTTGGAAATAGTCCGAGGAAGTCAACCGTACATGATGGTAGTAATATATTGACTAGCAAACAGGCAGCCATTTCCCATCAGCCAGTGGCCAAGAACGCCGGTCGCCCTCCTGAGTCTCGGTCCTCATCAACCAGGAACGGCGATGTATCTCCATCGGCTAGCCTGAGAAGCTTGAAGGCGAAATCACTGCAGCCTCCTCTGCCAATTGCAGGTAAAGAAATGAATTCGCCGGATGAAGGCCCAAGGGCACTATCTGCATCCAACTCTTTCACTATTTTGGGTCCCAGGTCTCCAAACTCGAATAGCTCCAAAGGGTCACAATCAAAGATTAACCGCAGAATATCGACATTCAGTCACAGCCATGCAACAGGTCTCGGTGCCAGGACGATTAGCCCCACAGATACTCGTCGAATGAAACGCCTCTCCGTAATGCCACCACCGCCTCTACCAATGCGTACATCCCAACCACCGTCACCAAGTAACCAATCACCGCCACAAATTGACAACCCCATGTTCACACGGGCCACCCCGGATATGAAGCGGAAATCTGTATCTTCTACTACTTCTCTAAACTTAAATAACTGCTCCAATAGAGTATCCAGCAACTCTCTACAGCATCGAACGAGCCAAAACTTTGCTATATCAAGACTTCCAACTCCTAAAACGAAACAAAATGAAGGGGCAACGGACGAAGACATACCACCTGTTCCACCAATACCCAAGGGGCTTACGAATGAACCCGAACAGACTTCATTTACAACAAGAAAATCAAGTCTTGTTGCACAACCTAGTGCATCTGGCCCCGCCACTAGGACTTTAAGACAGTCTATAGTTGGGGCCGGGGCCTCTGAAGTGACTGCCAAAATTGACACAGAAATGCGACGGAAACGAGGGTTAACAATGGGTCCAACTCTAGACACAAAATCTTCCGTGACTTCTCTAAGGCAAAAAAGTTTGCAACCACTGCGCCTACCGCCTTTAACAGTTCTTCCCCTTAGCGCACCAACAATCAGCCGTGTCAATGCCTTAGACTCACATACAGCAACAGATGGTAACGATGAGATAACACCAACAAAGTCGGGTCAACGGGCTCCAAGTACACCATTAACGGCTTCAAAAGCTACATTCAATGAAAGTCGCCGAAGTGGTAACTCAAATCATTTAACGGCTCGAAGCACCAGTTCTACGCAACTAGCGCATTCACCATCTGCTTCTTCCATGAGAGCGTCTTCGTCGAACTCGTCAAATATTCTCAACACCAACGGGGGTAGTCGCTATAGTAGATCTGCTGTCTCACCGATGGTGCCCCTTATCTCTAAATCGGGCCCGAGTGGCGATTTGACCGCGCCCAATTTGACCTCGAAGGCGCCTCGGAGACCTAATTTAAATATCATGTCTGCGTCTGGGCGCCGTAAAAGCAAGGAGGAGCTTAAATCGATAACCCAAGGAGACAATTCACCCTCGAAGTCACCAGAGACACCTTCGAGTGGCTCATCCATTCGCAGGAAATTAAGCTTGAGCTGGAAGAGAAGTTCGAGTAAAGCATCCCATGCGAGAGAGGATCGCGAATTAGATCATGGGATAAAACATGACTCTTCATTGCCCCCACGGCTCCCAAACCCAATATCCTGGGCGGCTGGTACCACGAACCCGGAATCTCAAACGTCTCAGCCTAGCCATACAACGACACGGAAACGAAACTCCCTCTATGGATTCTCTGGGAGCGGTCATGATAGAACTAAGAGTGAAAGTTGGAGCTCTGCGAACTTTACTGGCCACTCTAAGGAATCTAAGACCCAGGATGCTGCAAACACCACTGACCCTTTGGCACCCTCAAAAAAGCCACCGCTAGGAATGTCGACTTCAATACATCGCCCCTTGACTGCTAAGTCGTCTATCTCTTCGATACGGTCTTCGAGGCTAGAATCACCGCTGGACTCTGACGATGTTTTGGCTGATGACGAAATGAGGAAACTAGCTGCAAAGCGTAAGGGGTTAGAAGCCGCCGCCGCCGAGGTTGAGATATTACAACAACGTGCAGGCCCTAAGGATAGGCTTTCAGCCCACCAAACTCTTAAGACTTCGAATCTAAATATCTTCGAGCGCGGCGAAGTAGTGGAGTATAAAGATGTATACTTCACTGGCTCGGCGGACGCGAGAAAGGTAATAGGTGAGCTTAATGGCGGGCCTTCCGTTTGTAATTTTGGGTACGACGACGAGCGAGGCGACTATACCATCGTTATCGGAGACCACCTGGCCTATCGCTATGAGGTTATTGATGTCTTAGGTAAGGGCAGTTTCGGTCAAGTTGTCCGCTGTATCGACCACAAGACAGGAGGACTCGTTGCGGTGAAAATTATCCGAAACAAAAAGAGGTTCCACCAACAGGCATTAGTGGAAGTTAATATCCTTCAAAAGCTGCGAGAATGGGTAAGCGACTTTCCGAACGATATGGGGTTTTTGAAAGCTAACGGGTAATTAGGACCCCAGTGATCAACACAGCCTCGTTAAGTTTACGCAGTCCTTCTACTTTCGAGGACACTTATGCATTTCAACGGAACTTCTCGGCATGAATCTTTATGAATTCATCAAATCGAATGACTTTCGAGGTTTTTCTTTAAGGTTAATTCGACGTTTTACGAAACAGCTTTTAAGTAGCTTGGTTTTGCTGAAAGGACATCGCGTAATACATTGTGATTTGAAACCAGAAAACATTCTTCTTGCTCACCCGATGCAGTCGGATATAAAAGTCATCGATTTCGGCTCTTCTTGCTTGGAACACGAGAAAGTTTACACATACATACAATCTCGCTTCTATCGATCGCCAGAAGTTATTCTTGGCATGACGTATGGTCTTCCCATCGATATGTGGAGTCTAGGGTGTATTCTGGCCGAATTGTTTACGGGATACCCTATTTTCCCGGGAGAGAATGAACAAGAACAACTTGCCTGTATCATGGAGGTGTTCGGTCCGCCCGAAAAACATTTGATCGAGAAAAGTAGTCGGAAGAAGCTCTTCTTTGGTAAGTTTTCAAGATACTAAACGGCCTTACCCTCCAGGTTTCAATTGAAAGGTTTTGCTAACTTGAAAAAGATTCCTTTGGGAAGCCGCGTATGATAGTTTCATCAAAGGGCCGTAGGCGCCGCCCAAGCTCAAAAACTTTACAACAAGCTATCAAATGTGACGACGAGGCTTTCCTAGACTTTCTTGCAGGCTGCCTCCGCTGGGACCCTGATAAACGCATCAAACCCGAAGAGGCTATCCAGCACGAATTCATTACGGGAAGAAAGATACAAAAATCCAGAATGGACTTAGTTCTGGAATCGCCCAGCAAACGATTACCTTATACTCCACGGCCACTCCCTGAACTACCACAACACCACTTCAGTACCAGTACAAGCAGCCGCAATCCCGATCTTAAGCTTTCAGGAGTACACCAAACCACAAACCCCCAGAAGACAGTTACAAAAAGACATTCTATAGTGGGACCGTCCCTTGCATCTATGGGCAATTCGAAACGAATATCGAATAGCAACAATCTGGCTCTTGGGCCAAATTCTAATCTCCCAAGAGTAGCCGGCCGTACAGCATCTATCTCGATGTTGAAAACTGAATCGTCAGATAACGCGCCTTTCTCAACCAGATCTATCAGACATTGATTCATCTATTTCAACTATTTTAACAAAACAGGTGTATTTATGAGTTTATTCGACGAATCGAACGTACTTTCAAAGTAGCCTTCCACCACCACTCCCATGCCTACAACATCTTTCCCGTCGTGCTTACAAAGGGACAGGACTTTTACTGTGGGTATAGTATCTATGGATTGGCCGTTCCCTATTTTTATCCCCCTTCATCCACTTTTCGATCTCGCACCTGAAATCGATAGCATGGCGCAATTTTTGTTAGATAGAACCCGAACCGTTGCACAAGACGGCGCCTTTAGCACGGTAGTCTAGACCATGAGCAGCATTCAAAATATTTTTTTATATCTCCATACTTTTTTTTTTTTTAGCTTCTTTTGCTTTTGAGAAATGACATGCATACCCCGATTTGCGCATTGTCTGAAGCGAGCGTTTTTGGAAAAGAATTTGCACCCCTAAGCGACTGACTGTTTTCCATTTTCATGTATGATCACCAGTGACAAATCCCGCCGACATCCTCACTATCTAACCATTGGCCCGCCAGGCCTTGGATCTTTACTGATTCCGCCTCACGTCCGGGAAGCGAAATTCTCGAGTCTGTGAGTAACCTACGCGCCCATATACCGATAGATGGTTCCCCAGTTTCATCGCGAGCTTGTTTAAGAAAAGGTATTAATGCTGTCCCTCCAGTGCCCCTTAGATCAGACCGATCATTTGGTGTCCTTGCTAGTCCTTTGGGTTGTGACCGATAACCAAGATGGAGATTTATTCCCACTGGAGCTACACCTGACTTGGACCTTGCAGTAGCTAGACGTTCCGTAGCCACCCCCCTCTGCTCTTTGGCGGGTAGAATTATATATCTGCTCACAATTTGGATATGTTTGTCTCGGAACCCCCTTAGCATATGTAAACAAGCATCATACGCAACGGTAAGCGCCCCATAGGATGAGTGCTCTTTGACGTAGTTCTGGATGTTAGACACCCTCTCAAGATGCTCAAGGAATCGGCGGTGAGGACCAGGCATGTAATCCCTCATTTCCTAGCACGGTACCAAACCCTGGTCAGCTGTACAATCCATTTCCCCAGAGAAATACAACCTTAATACCTACTAGAATAAAGTTGTGAACCTTGTGGCTATTCTGTGGTCCTTCTGGCCTCGGAGTATCCGGTTTCTTGTCTCCCGTCGGGCGATGCTCCACCCCAAGCAATATATCAAATGCCTGAATCAAAGAACTTTGTGCATTGCTACCTCCTGAATATTGTCTAAAGGGCTCGTCACCAGAGCCGTCTAGATACCTGACGCCTCGCGGCAAGCCTGCTTCTGCCATATTTTTCGAACCCGCAAGGTAAGGACGAATACGACTATAGAAGATATGAGGATCGCAATTTTCGTACATTCTCCCAAGAAGGTGTGTTAACTCGCCAAGCCTTTCTGCAAAGAATTGAAGGCAGGAGACGACAAGATCGAGGTCGTCTTCTCGAGCACCCTGAATAGCATCTAACATAATGGGGAGTATGGTTGCCCCCCGAGACTCTATTGCAACAGAGACGAGATAAAACCACGATTCGTCCAGGGCCCCGGTGAAGGTGTGTAAGGTGGCGAGGTTGTCTAAACAATCTGTAGAATCATCTGGAAAGATTGGTCTGTAGTTCCAAAGACACAGTGCAGCGTACGTAGCCACGGGAGGCACATCTAATTTCTTGCTCACCGCTAGATACGGTATTGAGATTGTAGCTGGTAAGACCTGCGACCAGTGTTAGCAAATCACGCCCTGGAACCAATTAGTACTCCGAATTTTGGCTTACCTCTGACGCAAAATCACCTCCCCAGATATATGAGTGCGAGAGGAAAGAAAGTATAAGATAGGCTCTCCTCCATTCCGCTTCTGTTCTAAGTTGGTCTGTTGACAAAACCGGAAGCCCTTCAACGACTTGGCGGATTTTTTTGCTTAGGAGTAGAGGTTGGAGATTCGAAACCGTAGTTTCCCAAGGTGCATAATATAGATCTTGCAGAGCTGCGAGTGGAGGTGCATCAGGGAGGAAACCCGTTTTCGTAGAGATGGAATAGTCCTCCAACTTAGGAAGCGGAAGATTCACCATTGTCACCGGTTTATAGGAAGCGATTTAAGTACTTGTAACCAGTTGAATCAAAAGACGCTTTGGGAAACCTAATAAAGTAACTTCCCAAACGCGAGTGCACAAAAGGCAATAAACAATAGGCTCCTCAGAGAAGCCTGTGTTGTGCTGGGATGGCCTAGACGTGGTTGTGAAGAAGCGGTTTAGCTACAGTAAAGCATGTGGTTGGGATGATCAGAAGGGAATCTTGGACCGATTACGGGTCCTATTTAATTCACCCCCGCTATAGCATTCAATGGCCTCTGCCTGCTTGTGGCACCGGGGAAAAGGCCATTTCCGTTCGGATGGCTCGGAAGGAGTTGCGAGATATTTCATTCAAGCGCGCGGGAGACAGGAGGAACGGAAAAAAAAAAAAAAAAAAAAAAAACAGCATAGATTAGTAACCTGACAAGCAGCGCATGTCCTTCACACCACTATTATCCACTCTAACCGGTAAACTCTTACTTCCAACTTACTTCTCTCCGCATTCGATTAGATAGTAGATTCCACACATTCTGGAACATATTAGTACAGTATTTAAATTAATCGTACGCATTGATTCATTTCCCGTGTACAGTTTCAGCATCCCTGATTACCTACCAGGTATCTAAAGAAACTATTTTGGAAATCTACGGACTAGATCGCTATCGCAACGATTGTGTGTTACAATACCTGAAAAACAAGAGCGGGAGTATAAGACGAGACGGACAAAAGCGAAAGTGCACTGATATCGAACTTGGAATGAAAAAATCGCAAAAAAAAAAAAAAAAAAA